GAGGTACTACATGTGGACCTCTCTCAGATTTGTTCATTTTCTAATGATATCTTCTGTTCTTTAATTGCCATGTGCATTGCTAACAGCGGAGCTATCTCAGCCGACAGGCTGCTTGTTTTTTTATTTTTATGCAATCAAAATTCCAATGGGGATAAAAGTTCAATAAAGATTATTATTACTTGAATAATAGTTAATAAATTATAAGGTCTAATGTTTACATATTTGGTATAAAGACCTCCATAAATGAGCGCTGGACTGAAGATAATCATTATACAAACTTTTAATGAATGATTTCTCTCAGGTTCATTGAGTGTGAATAATTTGTTGCATTTTGTTCTTTGCAATTTGCCCCCCCCCCCCCTATGCTTACGAGGTAGTATCTTCTGGGCAAAGTGTTCATCAACAAGAACAAGATTGTAGCAGTTATGCTATGTTCATTGTAGGTTTAGACTGTGATTGTGTGGCAGGATACAAACTAGTGAGTGATACAGGTGCCCCCAGTGAGAAAACATGCCAAGCATGTCCTGATGAATCAATGGTAACGTCGGATGGATGGAACTGTATAACATGTCCTGTTGCTTACCCTTTACAACCAAATGGTAAATGTGCTGATTGTGCTGCCGGAGATATTCCTGGTAAGTCTCAGACCACATGACAATATAGCCAATTTTGTTTCTTCTCCAATATTATAATAATTGTTAAATGAATTCAATGTAGGCATGAATGTTTTTTTATGTAAATTTAACACATTTACCCTGGAAAGTCCCTTGCAGTACATTCAAATCCGAATATACACTTGAATACTGTAAAATGACTAATTTTCACTGGGTTTGAATTTTTAAATTCAGTGGGTTTTAAATTCACGGTTTTATCATTTAGATAATGTGTTCTATGCTAAATGTTACATATTCACTTTTCTTTAATTTAGCGCATTTTCCAGTCAGCGAAATTAGTAAAATTAAAACCCAGTGAATAATTAACCCCTTTACAGTATCTTGAATATAGAAGCCATTTGGTAATGCCCATTACCACTGTCTTTGTACGTTTCCTTTAATCATTGCCATGCATCTGTTAATATCTTGTGATTGGTTAAGCGTTTTCAACTGTCATTTTAAATTGATTAAAAATTTATTTATACTTTATATAAAAATATTCATGCCTACGTGAAATTCACTGTACATTTCTTTGCCAACATCAAATGTTCCACAGAGACAGTATATCTCAATTACTATAATATTGATCCAGCACATACTGTACATGATCATCATGTTTGAAGTTTTTTCTGCTGAGTTCCAAGTGATACATCATGCATGGATTTTCGTTAAAATTCTTTTCCCTTTTTGGTAGAAAAATCAACAACGTTTAAACATGTTGTAAACTGTTTATCCTTTATTTGTGTCCCTGAACAGGACTATTTTGTGCATTTGTGATGAAAAGAGGAATTCACTGTGGTGAAAAGGTTAAATGTTAATTCAGCTAAATACAAACAGGGACTATATCATTGTCAATTAGGTGTGACAGATCACCATTGGGATATAAACTTGAATTGGTACTGACACTAGATATTAACACAAGGATATTAATTTGTCATTATCTTAACATGATTTAATAATATGACAAATTTCTGGATCAGATCTGGCATGCATTTTAAGTACACCATTTGACTTTCAATTCTTTGGATATTCCGGTACAAGACATGTACTAGTATCTTTATTTTTTCAGTTGAATATTCCCTGGATGGTGTTTTACAGAGTGAATATTCATGTACATCATGCCAAGATGATACACAGCCAGATGAAGTATGTGATACGTGAGTATATCAGTGAACACTTACTTCACCTCCTAATACCAAAATACTTACCTGTAGGATGATTTGACAGAAGCATAAAAATGATAGAAACTTGTTAGTACAGGTACATGTACTGGTACATTGCATGTTTTCAAAACAATGATGTATAACTAAGTTTCTATCTTTTTAGTGGTACATGTAGACTATTCAATACACAATGTCAGTGTCAATCAGGCCCTGTGGAACAGAAAAGAATAACCAAAGTTCTGACACATTTATGAATTAATATTAAATTTACTAGATTCAATGAATGTATGAACCTTGTATTGATATTTTATATTATATACATGTCCTACAGATGTGAAAGATGTCATCAGAGTGTGATTGCTGTAACAGACGATGATAGCTGTGATTGTCCTGAAGAACAAGAAGTAAGTACCTTGATATGCATCTTCTATCCTGTGTTTATTTCTTTACTACTATTTAATGTCACCTTTATCATTTCATCTTTATTCTATCATCAATATCTGTCTCTGACAGAGTTACCTTATACATATACATCAAAAACTTACATTTTAGTTGTCCACATTGTATAAAATTATTTGTTTCATCTGACACAACATCCATTAGTTGCCATGACTTAGTCGCCTTTCTTCATCAAACTCTGCCTGACTTATCTTTGCTTTCTTTTATTGTTGGTGCTTTGAACAGGGTGTGCAAAAGGTAAATAATATGCAGTAAAGGGAATAGTAAGATAATTTATTCTCTTAAACACTGTAAACTGCCTCGATTTCACAAGAGATGTATTTTCACCTTTTCGTGATTTATCGGTAGCAACAATTGTGGTTGTGAACATTTTACTAGCCCTGTTTTGGCAGGGCTCTCTGTGGTCCTCACAAATGCCCTTATCTTGAATTGACAAAATGGAGAAAATGTCCAGCTGACTCACCTTTAATATTGGTTTACAACATTTGTCAAATGAATGAATTGAAAATTTTTTAGTTGACATTATGCCATGGGAAACACATTGCAGCATACTTGCAGCAATGGCATGTATAGTCATAGTATCTCACAAAAACATTCATGTTTACATCATTTTTATACAGACTCAGTACATTATACAATAGTAAATACTTGGTGATTATTTTCCATTCAAATTATGTGTGCTTTCCCTATTCCTAATTTGTATATTATTTTACTCACTTCGCACATGTCACATATTGTGTAAATAAAATAGAAATGTTTGCACATATCATGTACATGTAGTGTTTTGTAATCACTGTTAGTGACACTTGCATGGTTATCTTCCAAACTACACTAAATGCCTTTTTACCAAGGAGACATGTCCCTGTTATTTTGACAGTAACTTCAATTTGTTTTTAATAGGCTGGTGGTCTTTGTTTTGAAAGTTCTGATGATCTCTTAGAATACAGAGACGGAATGTATGACATTCCATACGAGGTAGGTTTGCAGTTAAAATGCTTATTTGGGTTGATATCTAAAATAATGTATTTTAAGTTGCTAAATGAAGCATTATTATGTGTGTAAATGTGGCTGCCACACAACAAATTAATATTTGTGTTCTCCTTGTTCAGAGCTATAATGACGGTAATGGGTTGACATCATGGTACTTTGAAGAAAATTATTTGGCTGCAGAGTCAGTCTGCAATGTAAGTAATTATTACAGTAGCATTGCCAGAGATGTAAAGCACATTTTTTGTACTACATGTACCAATGTTTAAGACCTGTTGATTCAATGTGTATAGAACTTATCAAATTGAGTGGTTCTATGCCCAGTAGGTATTCATGTTACTGTAAAACCATTTAATTTCACGGATTGTTTTGAGCATATTCACTGTGTTATAATTTCATGAATTTGTCAAGGAAACAATGAGTTTTATTGTTATTTTACATGTTCACGTATTTTAGTGTTTTGAGCTTTTTACTGTGTTATAATTTCACGAATTTGTCAAAGAAACAATGAGTTTTATTGTTATTTTACATGTTCACGTACATTTAATTTAGCGAATTTTAATTATCAGCAAAATTAATTAAAACCTAGTGAATAATTATTGCATCTCCAGTTTTATTAAATTTTAAAATCTGCTGACATCAATTGGTTCTTCTATTATTCGTTAATCTTTAATTGACAATGTGAATAACACAATTGGTGATTTTAATCTTTTTTTAATTTAAATAGGGGATTATATTTATTTGTGAAAATCTTTTTCCGGTCGATTTACTGTTTTTTGTTTTGCATAACTGCACTGATGTTGTCTAATGTAAACTTATATCTCCATATTTTCCTTTTATATTTTCAGTCCTACCTGAATCTAACATCCTGTCAGCTGTTGGGTAATTTATGCGTGTTTTTAGATTACAATCAGAACAACAGACTGTATGAAGATGCTTGCTATTCATATCAAAGCATTGCTGCTCAAACTGATGGATTTGCACATGGAATCGATGGGTGGTAAGTCTTACTGAAAACTGTCAATCATATCAATATAATTATATAACTGCAAATGTTTGGTGTTAACCATGTCAGCTTACTCTAGTAGAGTGTAAACAACATAGTATACACCATATGTGAACATTCTTTACAAAACCACCATTCTACCATCAAGAAAACACAAGTATATTTTCAATAAAATTCTGAAATTTTTCTATGCGCAATTAGTTGAAAATAATGGCCACTTCGAAAATCATTCTTAAAAAAGTTTCAAATAATGTACCATTTCATATACTATAAATTTTGCGGTTTCACTCCTAATAAGGCTGTTACTCAATAATAAACACTTCCAAAAGTGATGGGTGATGTTTACTGTTTGAAGGTTAGCGCCTGGATGATGATTTAAGGATGTAGTAGACTTTCGTGGTGATTTTTTTCTTCATTTTTTTTTCTTTTATTAAATGGTGACTTATACCTATAGGCAGCCATACGACCTTGCTTTTTTATTAAATCACGTTTTTATTTCAAAAAAAAAACAGCTTTTTAAAAAATAAAAAAATAATTTACAACTAACGGAAACACCGGGAATGTGCATTTCGGCTAAGCCCCTCTGAGCCTAAATAATAACATTTGTAATTAGCTTAATCCCGCAAATAAACATCGCGTGTACGCGTCCGGTCAAATGACCGGATACACTCACTCGTTGCTGATAGTTCATCGCATCGCTTTTCTCTACTATATATTATTTTGTTTTGACCAAGTTTATTTTGAAAAATGGCACAGGGAAAATTTTTTAAAAAGAGTGTCCTAATGACAGGCGAAACCTGCAAGTTTCTGAATAGCAGAAACCGTATTTTTTACTACGAAACACAGTCCCTCTACGAAACAAAGTCGGACGAGTCGACAACAGACAAGTCGAGTGAAAACCCAAGTAACATCTGCTCCACCGCACTGGAGACTGAAGACAGCACCATAACTACCTCGAATGCTGACGGTGAGGACACTATTATACTCATAATACTGTCACTGGAGGCGGACAACACAACATCAACATACAGGATGAGCATGATGTCGAAACGAAAAATATCGCCAGCGAAGTCTGCAGTATCTGGTAACGCTTGCGGTGAAGCGAATAACATGAGGCTCGTCGACCTGGATATATTGATTTCGAATCTGGCTGACCACTGTAAATGTTCTCGGTGTAAAAAGGGAAAAATAAATATCCATGAAGAATCTCGTTATGGCTGGGAATCTCACTTTAGTTTCCGGTCCACATGTGGCCTTTCGAACATAGCACATGTACGCTGATTGGCTAAGAATACGAGGTAGTCAAAAATAGACTAATCAGGTCCATTGTGTCATGTGGGACGGCAGACTGACTCAAATTTCAGTGACGCATCGGTGGTTCATAGACAAAGCAGTTACACATACATTCTTAGCTCTTGGAAATGAAAACTGTTTTGTGCTGGTAATAATTTTATAACAATCGTACTGCAAGTCGACAAAACTGAACTAAACGAAACTCCGATTGTAACGAGTTATAGAGCAAAAACGACGACCTGTAATTCACGGCAGTACTGTCGGCAAGCTTGACTGACTTGCTTCCAAGCGGATTCAGTCAGCAAATAGTAGGCCTTTTTTTTTTTACTTCAATTACGATTTTTAATCGATATTCAACAACAAAAGTGTCATCGCCGATATTTAGTAAAAATAAAAAGCGTAGCTTTACCGAGTACTCGCATCTCATTATGTAGTTCTGCTCTGATGACATTTTCGCTTGGTTCAGGTGCCGTGGCTTACGAGAAAGTTGCGAGAAAAGGAGCGTTAGACACAACAGTGTTCAATGGTCACATATCACGTTTGTACATAAACAGATGCCAAGTTTGTTGTGATATGGTATAACACTCGAAACTAAGCTTGTCAAGCAAATAAACTTAAATTGATAACGGGATTACACTGTTTATTCAAGGGCGGCCATACTTCGTTTTCACATTGCTTTTTTCAAATTATCGATTTTTTCATAACTTTATCGCCATGTACCAAACGGGTTGTTTTGATTTTTATAAAACCAACACAATAACTATCTTAAACATCAAAAAATAACTGAATATCATCTCGACTGTGCTACTTTTGGTTTTTGAGTCTTTTCAGCCATTTGAAACGTAATGTGTCTAAAACCACAAAAATCACGATTACGCGATCAGTTCTTGTCCGATTTCATTGATTTTTTCAGAGATTGAACTCAAGATCAATTGACAACAAAATGTAAAATATTTTTCAAGTATCAGTAATATTTCATTACTAATTGACCTGTGAAAAGAGAGCACTCTAATTTATTACAGAATTCTTCTCCACCACTTTGTAAAAGAACCAAACAATTCAGAAACTATCTCTTTTACATTATTGTTAAGAACATTGTAGTCTTCCTTTTCTCATAAAAATGTGTTGGCTAACTGTTTTAGTTTTCTAGTAGCAGTAAAAATAGCAGAACAATCGATTTTGTTTATTTAGCAGTCACGTGACGCACTTAATGTTGACATTAGTGTTATCATAATTTTTTGATAGAGTGTTGCAAGGGCTACAATAACATTTTTAGTCATTAATCATTATTATTATTTTTATCAAGCTTTTTCTGTTTTGCCCAAGAAAGTCTACTACATCC